ATTATTTTATTATTATAGTTTTCTAATGTGTTTTTGTTCTAGTTCATCTTTATTATTCTTCCTTACTTAAGAGTTTAAGGAATATCATTCGTTTGTTTTTCTGGAAATTAAATTATTATCCAAATGAAGTAGATTTCACCAGTCTGCAAGGTCAAAATCAGGATACCACTTTCTTACCACTTTGTGAACAGAGGCGGAGAGTTTCTCTTCCCTGAGTAAATGCAATTTATCTTTGTACTTTCAGAACAATAGTTAAGAGTTTCAGGTTCTTAATTTCTTTTGCATCTTTTAAGAGAAAAAAATCAGGAAGAAGGAAAGTCCTTAGGAATGGTATCAGAGCGAGAGGTTTGGAGGGTGTCCCTGACACCACTGTGTCTTCCAGCTGCCCACTGATAATAGGTAGCTTTGTTCACTCTGTAATGAATATTCTTTTTAACTCTTCTTAAAGTGTCAAATAATCACCATAACAATGCTAGTATCTTTTACTGCCTGCTCTGTCCCAGGCGAGGTGCTAGACACTTTAGGATTCACCATCTCATTTGATCCCCACCAGAGCTATGTGAAGTATGTGTCATAATTCCTGCGCTGGTGCCCAGAGCACAGCCAGGTCAAAGTGGCCCAGGTGAGGGCAGGAGGAGTCAGCAGCTCCGCCCACTGACCCGCCTGGAAGGCAGAGGGTCTGGGAGCCCTTGGTGTGGTCTGCTGGAGTCCACTCCTGGAGCAGAGTGGACAGGTGAGGGAAGGCAACGGGGAGGTGTGACAGAAGGGACCCATGGGGGCTGCCTGCTGGGACCCTTTCCCAACAGGTTTCAAAGTGCCTTGGAGAACAAAGGAAAGGGATGCACTATGTTTCTCGCTCGTGTTGAGGTGACTCTTCTTTTAGGTGCTGACTTCTTTAAGTCAGGTCTGGGCAGGAGCAGCACCTAGAGGGGCCGTGCAGCCCAAGACAGTCTCAGAAGATGAGATGCCAAGACCATGAGTCAAGTACCACACACTTAGTGAATCCCACGTGGTCCCAACAGGGCTTGTGGCACCCAGAACCATGACAAGCAGAATGATCCTGCTCTCGCGGAGCGTGCATTTGCAGGACAGATGGACCATGAGCAAACAACCTCGGTGCACCTATGATAATACGAAATGAGAGGAAAACAGGAGACCTGGAGGCCAGGGAGGGACGGCAGCCTCCGGCTGGACGGGGTGGCCCATGGGTGCAGGGGAGGGTGCCACAGGAGATGCAGCTTCCTGTCCTGTAGCACCGGCGTAGCTGGGGTTGGAATTAGTGGTATCTAGTTGTACCAAACTAGGTGGTAGAGAAGATTTTGCATGTTTTTAGCACATAGAAATTGTAAGGGTGAGGGAAAAGCCAATCACCTGATCTGATAGCCTGTGTGCATGTGTTCACATACTTAAATGTATGAATGTTACATTGTATCCCATAGGTATATACAATTACTATGTGACAAGTAAATTTTTTAAATTTATTTTTTAGTCGTAGTTGGACACACTTTTTTAAAAAATTTATTCATTTTTATGAGGTGCTGAGGATCGACCCCAGGGCTGCACATGTACTAGGCGAACTCTACTGCTGAGCCACAACCTTTTATATATAAGAGACCAAAAGAGAAGGAAGAGGAGGAGGAGGAGGAGGAGGAGGAGGAGGAGGAGAGAGAGAGAAGGGAGAGGGAAGGAAAGGGGGAGGAAGGCTCTCTCTGGTAAGACGACATGTGGCCCCAGTGGAGCCGGAGGCTGAGCAGGTTGATAGGCAGGGGCAGGGGCCTTCCAGGCAGATCTGGTCGGGTGAGCCCCCTTTTGCCAGGGCACAGGGAGGAACACAGTGGGAAGTAGAAGCTCAGGAGGGGCATGGGGAGAAGAAAAGGCTTTTAGAGGAAGTGGATGTTTACATTTTCAGTCCTTTCCTTGTGTGGTCCATCAAATGACCTAGAAAACTTGACGTTTGATGGAGGGATCTCTGTTTACCGTGGCGGAGACTGATTCTGAAATGCGTCATTTTTTATTCTGTGGTCACTTTTACCTCATTTTCTTCCATAGGCAGTTTTTTCAAAGTGAGTATAATCAGCAGTGGTTTCAAAGGGGCAGATGAGACATCTCCACATTCGATGTCATTGCAAAGCACATGGCTGCTAGGACAGAGTGAAGATGCCCTTTGTTTAACATTTTTAAAATTTGCTCTAATTAGTTATACATGACAGTAGAAGGCAGTAGGATACATCATACATAAAGGGAGTATGATTCCTCGTTCTTCTGGTTTAGGTGATGTAGAACCCTACCGGCTGTGTAGACATATGTGTACACAACATAATAATGTCCAATTCATCTACTATCTCTCCTACCCCCTACTCCTCCCTTCTCTTCACTCCCCTCTACCTAATCTGAACTAACTCCATTCTTCCTGAGCTCCTATGCCCCAATTATGGATCAATATCTGCATATCAGAGAAAACATTCAGTCTTTGGTTTTTTTGGAATTGGCTTATTTCACTTAGTATGATATTCTCCAGCTCCATCCATTTACCTGCAAATGCCATAATTTAATTTTTCTTTAAGGCTGAGTAATATTCCATTGTGTATATGTACCACAGTTTCTTTATCCATTCATCTACTGAAGGGTACCTAGGTTGGTTCCATAGCTTAGCTATTGTGAGTTGAGCTGCTATAAACGTTGATGTGGCTGCATCACTGTGGTATGCTGATTTTAAGTCCTTTTGGAATAAACCATGGAGTGGGATAGCTGGGTCAGATGTAGGTTCCATTCCAAGTTTTCTGAGGAATCTCCATACTGCTTTCTAGAGTGGTTGCACCAATTGCAGTCCCACCAACAATGTATGATTTTTTTCCACATTCTCACCAACATTTATTGTTGCTTATATTTTTGATAATTGCCATTCTGACTTAGAGTAGTTTTGATTTATATTTCTCTAATTGCAAGAGATGCTGAACATTTTTTCATATATTTGTTGATCGTATTTCTTCTTCTGTGAAGTGTCTATTCAGTTTCTTAGCCCATTTATTGATTGGATTTTATTTATTTATTTATTGGCATTAAGTTTTTTTTGTGTGTGTGTTCTTTATATATCCTGGAGATTAGTGCTCTATGATAACAATTTTTCTCCCATTCTATAATCTCTCTCCTCTCATTATTGATTGTTCCTTTGCTGAGAGAAGCTTTTTAGTTTGAATCCATCTTGTTTATTTATTCTTTTTTTTTTCAAGAGAGAGAGAGAGAGAGAATTTTTTTTAATATTTATTTTTTTTTTAGTTAACGGCGGACACAACATCTTGTTTGTATGTGGTGCTGAGGATCGAACCCGGGCCGCACGCATGCCAGGCGAGCGTGCTACCGCTTGAGCCACATCCCCAGCCCATATTTATTCTTGATTTTACTTCTTGTGCTTTAGGAGTCTTGTTTAGGAAGCCAGGTCCTAGGCTGACATGGTGAAGATCTGGGCCTGTTCTTTCTTCTGTTAGATACAGGGTCTCTGGTCTAATGCCTGAGTCTTTGATTCACTTTGAGTTGGTTTTGTCAGGGTGAGAGAGAGGGGGTTCATTTCATTTTGTTGAATGTGGATTTCCAGTTTTCCAGCACCGTTGGTCGCTGTCTTTTGGAGATGCCCTTGACAGGGACTGCCTTGGTGGCAGACGACATATGCCTCAAATAGCAATTGGTACAATTGCAGTGTTTATTAGGATCAATTATCCTGGTATCCTTGGAAGTAGCAAAGGTTAAAGATAAGAACATCAAAGAGGGGGAGCAGGTGCCTTGCTGGAGGTCACCCACTGTGAAGTGGGGAAGTGAGAGTTCTATGGGGGACACCTGTCTCCAGTTCACGCCCACCACACCACAGGGAGACCATCCAGGGTGCTCTTCCTCCCTCCCGCAGAGCCTCCCGTAGCTCTCTCAGGGATCTCAGACTAGTTCAGACTGTATTACCCTCCTGCTGCATCCTGAGGTGCTGTTTTGACTTCGTGCAATAGAAACCCAATCCCGGGTCCTGACCCTACGGGGGCCTGCTTCTCACATCACAGCAACTCGGAGAGCAGAGTGCCGTGGCTCCATGGCTCCACCCAGGAGCCTGCTCGCCTCCTCTCTGCTTTGTCTCTTAGTAAGTGGCTCTTTTCCTCAGGGTCTCATGACGGCTCCTGTCCCTAAGGAATAGCAACCATGTCCAAATAAGAGGGGAAAGTGGAAGGCCACTAGGGCAGGTCCCTGGATCCTTCCTCTTGGTCAGGGAAGGAGCAGTGTTCCCGCAGATCCTGCTGCAGACATCCACGCACATCCCGCCGGCCAGAGCTGTGCTCAGAATGTGTAGGAGCTTTGTCTAGGAGCCCCCAGGACCACAGGCATGCCTGAGTGGCCCGCCTCAGCGACACACACCTCCTGGGGAAACAGAGGCTGCAGGAAGGAGGAGGAGGACAGTGGGTCCTGAGCAGGCTGCCACCAGGGTCCCCACAGTGCCTTCACAGCCTCACTGATTCCTCCTGGCTCCAAGGTAAAACCGAAACCACTGGGCATGGCACGTGGGGTCCTTCAGGCTCTGACTGGTCCAGTCCCCATCGGCCATTGACTCGCCAGGCTGTCACTTACCGGGCACTTTGTGAACAGCGAACTCTCCACACCCGGCACCTGCACATGCTGGGGCCCATCCCCCTGCCGGCCTCACCAGGGTTCTCTGGTCCCCAGACACCCCACCTTCCCGGGCTGGCTGGGGTTACTTATTGTGTGAAACGGGCTTGGCCCTTACCAGAAGGCACTTCTCGGCACCGAGCCCATCCCTCTCCCTCACTCACTGCGGTGAAGTGGTGCATGTCCAGCGCCGCAGGCCTCTGAGTTCTGGGCTGTAAAGTGAGTCGGAGGTAGACTTGTTTTAATTTTCCTTTGATTTTTTTTCTACTCTGTGTACTTGAACCACAGGTTGCTATTTCAGTAATACTTTTTAAGCCATTTTTTGTTAATAATCCAAATTTATTTCCCTTTGGTTCCAGTTGTTGAAATGGATGAAAACAGTGGACTTTTACTTCTAGAACTAAATCCTCCTAACCCCTGGGATTCAGATCCCAGGCCCCCTGAAGATTTGGCTTTTGGGGAAGTGCAGGTAAGAAAACAGTAAAATTTTAATATTCTTAGAAATAAAACAAAAATATCCTTCATATATATTCAGGGAAAAACAATACAAAACTTTAGAACAGATCCTAAAGGAGAACCATACAAAACTACTAGAGGAAGTTCAGAAATTAGCTGGATGCCAAATCCTCATCAGACAGAATCGTGTTTTAGTCTGTTTTCTGTCACTGTAACAAAATATGTGGGGCTGGGTAATTTATAAAGAAAAGAGACTGACCCATAGTTCTGGCAGTTCAAGAGCCTGAAGCTGGCATCTGCTCAGCTCTGGTGAGGGCTTCCTGATTGGATGGCATCCCAATGGCAGGAGCCCGTGCAAGAGTGGCAAGAAGCACCTTTGTGAAAGGTGCCAGTCCACCTGTGACAACTTGTCCCCTAGGCAGTTGGGCTGATCCTGCATCAGTCTAGGGTGAGGCCTCCCACTAGGCCCCACCTCTTAGCATCCCCCCACTTCTACCGGCCATGATGGCACCGGGCTGGTCATACAGGAGACTGTGGGGGACAAGCCACATCCAAGCCCCAGCAAGGGACAGTGGTATATTTCTACATCTTGTCCTAATATCTTTCAAAACCTCCTTATCTATTTTTCCAGACTTAGAAGTTGGGATTTTTCAGAGGAAACATTAGTTTGGGAGAGACAATCTTAAATTCATTTCTCTGTGTGTTTGGAAACGTGGGCATGTTTGAGCAGTTACTTCTTCAGGAAAAACAAGGGAAGGCACCCCAGACGGGCAGAATTTGAGCTAATTTGGCCCCGACCTCTCCTGCCCTGCTCCGTTGGCTTTGGTGCTGGGGCTCCTGCTACCTTATCTTTCTCAGGCCAGGCGGGGGCAGGATCAGGAGGAATGGGGTTGGAATTCCCCAGTCTGTGCTGGTCTGTGTAAGCCACTGTGTCTCCCAGGACCTGCATCCTGCAGGCTGAGCTGGCAGGTGATGGGGAAGAGAAGGCGACGCAGGCCTCTTGACGGACATGGCGGGTCCATCCAGGCTGCTCAGCTGTGCCAACCCGCACCCGCACCCTCCGTCATTCACTCATGTCCCTGTTCACAGCCACTCTCATGCTTAGATCCCCAATGCTGGCCACAGCACCTTGCAGACTGTGCTGTGAAGGACGAGTCACAAAAGATATTCATGGTGCAGGTCACACATAAATGCCAGATTTAGATAGAGTGAGCTTGGGTAAATCAATTGGTTTGACACCTAAAACCCAACACGAGAGTGTCTGCTCTGATAGAGTCAGGGCTGTGCTGGGAGTTTGTTCATTTCAGGCACCTGCTGAGCCGCAGTTGAGCCCAAGATCTTGCCTAACCTTGCTTAGGAACAAAACTCTCCGACCCGAGTTGTCAGCGAGCCAGGAGAAGCTTTCTGTTTACTTTTGCTGCCCAGTACTGACTCAATCACAGGAATCTCACTCTGCCCACAGGTAACGTATCTCACGCATGCCTGCATGGACCTCAAGTTGGGAGACAAGAGGATGGTGTTTGACCCTTGGCTAATGGGTCCTGCCTTTGCCCGGGGATGGTGGCTGCTGCATGAGCCTCCCTCAGACTGGCTGGAGAGGCTGTGCCGAGCAGACCTGATTTACATCAGCCACATGCACTCAGACCACCTGAGGTAAGGAGCCCTGGCACCACCTCGGGGGCCAGTAACGCTGCGATACGAGCAGGACGGTCCTCCAGTTCTCCTGCAGTGACCACTCGCTCCGAAGCACTTCATTTGGAATGAAGAGAAGAGCACTAACAAAGACGGATGTGTGCATGCACTTTGCAATTTCAATGTAACAAGGGCTTCCACGCTTTGCGCCAGTGGGAATGAGGAAGCTCTGTCAGGGGGACAGGGTTCACAGTCCCCTCACGTGCCACCTTTAGACTAGGCGGTGCAAGTTTAGGCTGAAGGTCAGCAGGATTGAGCTTTGGGGTTTTGTTTCCTCAGCTCAGCATTTATAACAGGAATCAGCCTCTGTTTCATTTTTTTTTAAATATAAAGAGCCAGTGTAAATATTTTAGGCTCCGAAAGCCATGTAATCAGCATTGTGACCGAGTCAACATTACCACTATCATTCAAAAGCAGCCACAGACAGTCCTGAAAGGAAATGACTCTCCCAATAAAACTTCAGGGATGATGATATTTTCATATCACATAATTTTTATGAATCATATATTATTATTGTCTGTTTGATTTTCTTTACGATCATCTAAAAGGAGAACACAACTGACTTCAGCTTGCAAAGTCACACAAAAGCAGAGAGCAGGCCAGGCTTGGCTCCCGCCACTGGCTTGCCAGGCCTGGTCTACAGCCCCTAGAGCTCCTGCAGGACTCAGGAGCCCGAGTCAAACCCAGGCCACACTTTGCTGAAACCAGAGGAACTGGACACTGGTGATCCCGAAGAAGCATCCCTTACCCAGGCCGTCAGAGGAGAGAGGAGGGAGAAGCCACTCGTATTTGTGAATGAGCTGTATCAGAGGAGGGAGGACCTTCTCCCGCCCCTCAGCTGAACTGCAGGGTGGTGCTTGATTACCTGGTTTGCAAGCGTCATCACCTTTCCTCAGTTGCCATCATCCACACAGAGCCGTGGCCGCAGGGTTCTTCTGAGGCAGCTTCGCCTTCTCCTACGTGACAGAGTCACATAAATGCCATGGTTAGGGTTAATAGATTGGCTGTTGGTTGACTGGCTCCTTGCTGGTCTATTCTAAAGCACACGGGAACTATGGGGCATGGATATGCTTTTGTTTTTATTTTCTAAAGGCAGTAGTTTAATTTTTTTTAATTAACTGACTTAGTAACAGAGTACCTGCAACATGCTCCTTAACTGACCACAGCCCACTGCAGTGTGGTGGTACCACCGTCCAAAAAGTCCACTAATCGACCATCTGATTGCTTTGTCTCACACAAGCCCTTGGAACCAACTTTGCACAACTTTAGGCTTATGAGACCCTGGGTTCTTGTGCTGCACAGTGACTTGAAGTGTGTGGTACAACTTTGTATGGTTGGTCATGGCACCATGATAACAGTATCATGATAACGAGGCAATGTTTTATGGTGTCTGCTATAAAATGTAATTGCCTAAAGTTCAAATGAGAACACTCTCTGGGAATGCACTGAGTTTTAGGGGCATGGGTAAGAATTTTGAATGTCATCTAGTCAGTCTATTCTTTAGCCACTGGCTGAAACCTTTTTAGGTTAGCTTCAGAGGCTTGTGTGGCACAGTTGTCATGCACCAAGACACCAGGTTCCACTGTAGTGCCTGACACCTATGCAGTGTGTTGCCAAGAACCGATCACTGGAAAGTTGCTGAAGCTTGTGACTTTTACTCCCTGGAGTCATTTCTTTGGTTGACCATTTTCAACTCTTTCTTAGTCGAACAATAAGTGTTGAGTTCATTTGCTCCCAGTCATACCATCTGATCTTTATTTATTGCATAGGACCTCCCTGAATCACAAAAACAAGGGAAATGGTCAATGTATTCTAGCGGATAACCTTTATTCAAAGAAAGCCAGGCAATTCTTCCCCACCGGACCTATTTTAACAGTGTTGGAATGTGAACATTGTCAGTACAGTTGATAAATCCCATATGTGGACTTTGCTCATACTTTTCTTATGATTACATATTTTATTTCACCTGACATTACATTCTGTGTGTGAGTCTGATTCTTAAACTGGAGAGGACATTCTTGAAAGTTAGACCTGCCTTCTAAAAGAAGCACCAGGTTCAGAATCAGAAAATCCAGATGTGAGTGCCAACGTACTATTTGTGAGTTGTACATTTCTGAAGATGTTTTCTCGTCTACAAACAACCTCAGAACTCTTTGTGAGAATCAAATAAAGTGTGAAGAAGAGCCTAGAACTCGTGCACATTTGAAATACAGTAGGCAACTGGCCGTTCATCATTCGTCCTCGCCATACCCCACAGTGGCACACACAACCTTGGCACATAACGACCCTCTACAGAGCTACCGTGTGGTGCGTGCACGCTCTGAGGAGAAAGCACAATCTCCTAGAGACTCTCCTTATCACTTTAATCAGCCTTGAGCAGAGATGCTCCTCTGGTCTCTGGTGAGGGTCTGATTTTCAATTCCTTGCTCTTCGGTCAACGTGTTGGTCTCAGGAACAGACAGTCTCTTATCCTAGACAACCCTATTTTTCCATCTTTCACCTTTCCCTCTCTCTGACCCTAGTTACCCGACACTACAGAAGCTTTCCCAGAGACGACCGGATGTTCCCATTTATGTTGGCGACACGGAAAGACCAGTGTTTTGGAATCTGAAACACAGCGGTGTCCAGTTGACTAACATCAATGTGGTGCCATTTGGAGCATGGCAGCAGGTCAGGGATCAGTTCCCTTCTGTACTTTCCACCTGTGCTTTCTGAGGTTGACTTTAGATGAGGTGACTAAGAGAAAAGGCCATGTTGTTTGGACCTGTGCTGGGTAAATACTGCCTTCATTTAAGCTTCAAATGTTGCACAGTTAAGTAAAAGAGTATTAAAAGACGATTTATCTCCACTGACAACAGTAACCCTATAAGACAGGGTAATAAATCCCATTCCAAATAAGGGGCTTTTAAAAAATTGTCTGAAAGGTTTTTTAAAAAGGTCTGGTTAACCAGTCTTTCCAGAAGTGACAACCTTATCAAATACTGGATTAAAGCCCAAACTGATATACACAGTTGTTGGTTTTATTGTTAAATTCCAGGTAGACAAAAATCTTCGATTCATGATCTTGATGGATGGCGTTCATCCTGAGATGGACACTTGCATTATTGTGGAGTACAAAGGTACTTTCTCCTCCTTAGCAACAATGAAAAATGAAAAATACTCTGGGTAGGAGTGATGGTGGTAGCCACCTGCAGCTTCATCCTGTTCTCATCTTCTCTGTATCTTAATTTTCAGAGGATCGAGTACATTGTATCCTTGTCTTAGTAAGACGAGTAGCCATTCCTATGTTCTTTTCAGAGAAAAAAATTACCAATAATCTAATGTACATATGAGAGGGGTGAAGATTTTTTCTACTGGGCAATCAATATTTTATATTTTATAGTAATTCTTATATTTTAAATTTTATATTTATAGTAATTTTTTCAAAAATGTCTTTTGTGATAAATGTCTTTAGTTACTTTCATCTCAAAATTTCATTAGGAAATCCAATCATACACTTTGGACTTTCTTATGAGAACATGGTCCTCCTGCCTTGATAATGACTTAAGTTTGAACTTTGCATAGAATTTGCAAAAGATGGAAGGATTCGTGATGATCGGGTCTTTCTTCCTTCTTTGCATCCTTTCGGCTTAATGTCTGGAGAGAGTTGGTTGAGACGGGTGATATATCTGCGACCCAGAGTGGAATCAATCTAATTATCTTCCTGAGACACCAGACTCTACCCAATCAAATGCAGTGATTCACTTGAAAATTTAGAGTATGCTACTGAAGTCTTTATATTTTGCAATTTTCTTCTTTTTTTCCTTGAATGTAACCAATTCTATAGTAAAATAAGTCAGATTGTAGAGCGTACCTAGAAGACTGCTGGCGTGGGAACTCTAGCTGTGCTGTTTGAGATTCCACCTGGACATGTGTTCTCTTTCCACAGGTCACAAGATACTCAACACCGTGGACTGCACCAGACCCAATGGGGGAAGGCTGCCCGTGAACGCTGCTCTGATGATGAGTGATTTTGCTGGAGGAGCATCAGGCTTTCCAATGACCTTCAGCGGTGGAAAATTCACTGGTAATATTTTGTATCAATGAGATACCAAACATCAGGCATGGCCCTTTGCTCAGTGATGTGAGAATAAGTACAAAGATAATGGAGATGTGCTTCCTCCCTGCAAGAAATTTGCAGCCTTCCAGGGAAACCAGACTTACAGCCACATATGTTGCAAACTGATGCTCCCAGCTCAGAATCTGATGATGGTACATGAAAGGAACACCAAGATCAGATGCAGGACAGGGAAGAGCTAAGAGAAAGATTGAACGGGGTTTCTGGAACCCAGCAGAATGGAGAAGGTGTGAGACTGGTGCCCAGGCTTAAATGCCCTTGGAATATGATCCAAAACAGCTCAGGTGGCAAGTCCTGTTGTTCCTGTGTAAACTCAGCAGGGAGGGGCATGGACAGAAGGAGCCCTCTAAATTGTGGGATCCCAGATAGGAGCCCTTTTACTCAGAGCACTGCAAGAACAGAGCATGGCTTAGCATGAGGAAAATGTGTAAGTGGTATGTTTCTTTCATTAGGTATCCTCGACCTCAGCATCTGAGTGCTCACTACTTCTGATTAGTGGATCACCATGTTAGTAACGATCCCTGTCTGACAATGTGGCAGGAAATGCCCTCCTTGCACAATGAAGTAGCCTCTCCCGCGCCCCTGCTTCCTTCTGCAGTCGGCTTCACGGCCTCCAGGATGCGAAATCAGGGAAGACAGGGAGGCTTCTGGCCCTGGGAACTCACAGTGTGCTAGGGAGGCACTCATTCCTGGTTAACCAGCACTGTGCCTGTCTGTGTGAGTGTGTGTGCAGGCATCAGCATCCGGGAGGAGCTGGAAGAGCCAGAAATGCTATCAGTGCCTGTATCTGGGTTATGGGTAGCTGCTGTTTTTCTTATGTTCTTATCTTTATCAAATGTCATGGCAATAATGATAGTAACGGCTCTCTGACCCTAATAACGATAGTAACGGCTCTCTGACCCTTGGCCCTGCACACTCTGGTCCTGCCTAATCCCCAGCTCACTCTCCCGCCCGTCTCCCGATGCCTGCTCTCTCCCAGCCACCCTGCCTTCTGTTCCTCACCCTCGGCTTTCCAAATGCCCTCCTGCCAGGGCTTTGCATTGGCTCTTTCCCCTGCCTGGGGTCCTGCTTCCCACAAACTGTGTGACTGCCATCTTTTTGTCCAAGTCTCAACGGCCATTGGTTCCCTGACCACCCTGCCTAAAGACCCTCCTTCCCACCCACTTGCCCCAGACATCCTCTGTCCTCTGGCCCAGTTTTAATTTCTTCCTAGCACCTAACTCTCTGTGAAGACTTTTCTTATTTGCTTCTCTCACTAGAGCAAATGCTCCCGAGAGCAGGCACCTGCCTGGTCCTGTTCACTATTGTATTCCCAGTGCCTACAACCACTTCTGGCCCATAGTAGGTGCACAACAGATATTGATTGAGAGAATGGATTGGTAAATGACAATCTTGTGAAGTAGACATCAGGATTCCGGTTACAGAGGAAGAAGCCTATGTTGAGAAAATAGATAGTTTAACCCAATATTGCACAACCAGTATATGGTGGGGCAGGACCTTGATCCTAAATCTGATTCAGCATTTATACTCTTAATTGCTTGCATTGTAAAGTCATGATAAATAGGCTTTATAATACTTTTATTATACTTTTATAATACACTAAAAGTATGGTAATAATCATTTATGTGTTAGTAAAGTTAGAATTAAGTGCCTTTAAAATGTGCTCACACGCAAGGTGTGACTATACATGCTGACCTATGTATTTAGCTAGGGTCCAAAAAATTACCCCTATCAAGGAGAAGACCCAGTGCCTCAAAGCTTTATTCTGCTCTAGTTGTCAATCTTTCTTCTGAACAAGCTCCAGCTTACCAGAGCATCCACTTTTCTGTGGTTTCTGAACAGAGGAGACTCTAACCCAAATACTGTCATTGCAGAGGAGTGGAAAGCCCAGTTCATTAAGACAGAGAGGAAGAAGCTGCTGAACTACAAGGCTCAGCTGGTGAAGGACCTGCAGCCCCGAATCTATTGTCCCTTCGCTGGGTATTTTGTGGAGTCCCACCCATCAGACAAGTATGGCTGGACACTTCGAACGGTTTTTACACACAAGTTCACGCATGCTGGAGGGGGTGACTGTGCTGGAATGCAATGGGAAGGGGAGAGAGGAGGGGAGGGGAGGCGCCCTGAGCTGGTTAAACAGCTGCCAGAGAACAGGGAGCACGAGGCAGAAGACACCCAAGTAAGCTCGGAGAGGGACCCTCAGAGATCCCCAAGGGAAGAGCAAGGCATTTATTGAGGGCATGCCAAGAAGTGAACAGGGGGCTGTTAGCCAAGCCATCTAAATTAGCCCCCTGATGACCCTGTGAAGAAGGTGGCATGTGCCTGTTCTGCAGATCAGGAGTCTGAACAGAGGCAAGGGACGTGCCCCAGCCACCCTGTTGGAGAGTGGCACTGAGCAGCACACCCTGGTTTGCCTGGCTCCAGAGCCTTCTCTGTGCCCCCTGCACCTCAGAATAGAATTGTGTCGTGAGGCTACGTTCTCATATCCTGGGATGTGATGTGATTTCTCTTGAGGCAACATGAATTCTTCAAATGTTATGAACATCACCAATTTATGGAAAGATTGAATTTTCCAATCTCGTGCATTTTGCCAAAGCACGTTGGTTAAGTCAGGGAAGACCTACACTGTTGATTCAATTCGGGATTCCCGACGCAAAAGAAATGCTTGGCAAATACTCAGGAATCAAAGACAAAACCAGGCAGTGTGGTTACATTTTCTCATCATGGAACAGCTTGATTTGAAGGTGTGGTGAGAGGCAAGGCTTCTTTGTGACTGGTTCTGTAAGGATAGTGCTAGTTTCCTAGGGCTGCTGTTTAAAACTTGCCACGTACTGTAGGGTAGCTTAGGACACCACCAGCAAGTGGTCTCACGGATATAGAGCTGAGACTCTGAAGTCCAGGTGCGGTGGTCAGGCCTCTGCGGTTGCTGGGGAGGAGCTGCCCCAGGCTTCCCCACGCTGTCTGCAGGTGGCCTTGCCTGCACATATCTGTGCTATCAGGGCACCAGTTGTGCTGGGTCAAGGTCCACTCATGGCCTCAGCTTACCTTGACCACCTCTGTGGAGTTTCTACCTCTCTGGAAGGGTCACTTCTGAGGGACTGGGGGTTAGCACACCAACGAATCTGTTTGGAGGGGAACCCAATACAACCCATAACGAGTTTTTGTGTTAAAATGGAAACGTTTCATGACACAAATCAATATTATAGCTGTACATATTTTTCTAAATTAAATATGCAGATAGTTTTATTTTAATTGGACAACATTACAGTTCACTGAAAAATTGCAAGTAGAATTTGAAGAATGTTATGTTGTATTTAGAGTTGCTTAATGATTTATGAAGTCAGTATTAATATTAACAAGTTGCTACAAAAGTTTGTGAACTCCCTAAACTTGGATAGATATATTTGGTGGTGTTGTTCTTTATACTGGGGATTGAGCCCAGGGATACTCTACCACTGATCTCCATCACTTTCCTTTTTATTTTTTGAGACCATGTCTTACTGAATTACTGAGACTGGCCTCAAACTTGCAATCCTCCTGCCCTGGCCTCCCGAGTTGCTGGGATTACAGGTGTGTGCCAGCGTGTCCAGCAGATAGACACAGTTTTGAAGCTAGACATGCTTTTTCTTCAAAATTAAATTAATTCTTCTAAAACAAGCCAGTTTTGTCAATCTAGATTGGAATTACATAAAGATGAATTTTTGATGGTTAATTCTGTTATTAGAAAAATTTAAGTTTATAACAACTTGAGCATGTGATTCTACTTTTTAAATTATAAATTTTATTAAATATGAATACAGATAAAGTTTTTCTGATGAAAATTTAGTACCTGAACCGAGATATAAGTTTGAAATACACATTGGATTCCAAAGACTTGGTATTGGAAAAAAGAATGTCCAAAATCTCATTAAAAGTTTGAACCATTTTTTGACAGATAAAATCATATATATTTATCATGTAAAGATGTCTCAGGCTGTTTATATACATGCAGAATGACAGTCTAGCTGGTTGGCACGAAATGCCTCACACTGCCATCCTTCCTGTGTCGAGAACACTTCCCTTCCATTCTCTCAGTGTCCTCGATAGTTCTTCCAGAACGTGGTCATTGTGGATAATGAGCCATGCTGGGTGGCAGAGTTTCCTGGATAGCTGGAGTTTGTTTCTCTAGATATGGAAATTTTTGATTTTGGTAGAATCATCTTCTTGGAAAGCGCCTTAGGCCAAAATGTGTCTCTTCTCAACTTTTTTGCATTATCATCACCTCAGGGTTTTAGGATCTGCTGTGACAGTCTGCTGTCCCCAAGATCCACGGAAGCTGCTGTAGCAGAACACTGTCCACGGGGTGTTTGCCCCAGCATCAGCAGCCCCAGGCAGAGAGACGCTAAGTGTCCTTCTCGTGGTCTTGCCAAGAAGTTGTCATTCTTCCTGCTGGGACAAATCCCTGCACCTCCCCATTCTGCTTTTGGATCTGCTGCTTCTGACCACCTGATTAGTCAGGAGTCAGAAGGAGGCTCAGCGTCACTGCCTCGCATCACATTAGGTGTGAGTGCTACGAGCAGGGCCCTGGCAGCTCTCAGTGAGGGACCGTGGAAGCTTGGTTGGTTCATGGGTTGTGGAGTGAGTTTGTAAATAGGAACTCAGCTCATGGCTTTCACCTGTGAGAACTGTAAAGAAATCCTTTGCTTTTAATTATCCTTAATTGTCTTCTCTATAACCCAGATCCAGTCCCTTGGAACATTATTGCATTTCTAAGTCACGAGATCGGTGGTCCTAGTTTCTATTTGAAAAAAAAAATCATATATACTCTTTTTCCTAGGCAAACTCCTATGATGAAGTTTGAAAGTTATAAAAAAAAAATCTTTTGGGATTGTGGATAATCCTGGATGCGAGTTTAAGGAGTGTGCTCCCACTGAAACCTGTTCAATCTCAAAAATATGTCAAGAGCAGTTTTCCCTTGGAAACTGCCGTAAAGAAGGGGTGAAATTTAAGAGCTCTGTGTCACACAGGCGACAGTCTCTGTGCAGCTTAGCTGTGAGGGATTCAAGTGGAGGAGGCACAGCAGGACTAGCAGAGGGAGCAACAAGCTGGGGGGGGGGGAACCTCGGGGTGCGGGATGCAGGCTCAGCACGTGTTTCCCAGACGCTCGAAGGTGCTGGCCCGGGACACTGGGTGAGGCTCTCCAGTTTCCTAAGGGAACCAGGAGTCCTCTGTAGTTAAGTGTGTCTCTCGCTCAACTCAATGTGGAGTTAAATGGCAGTCAGTTGACAAAAATAAGTTTTCAATTCCCCTTGGAAAAGATGACATAGCTATGGTCCAAAGACATCTTCTGAGCAGAGGGGCCAGCCCAGTGACCCGCCAGTGGGGCGTGGATGCTGATCATGTGGATGTCAGGAAGAGTTGATGGGATCCTGGAGGGAGGTTCCCAAGCCTCAGTCCTGGAGTTGTAGGAATCTGGAGAGGGCAGGAGGTCCGGGGGTGGCTTGGGCAGGTGGCTGGGGTGGCTCAGGGAGGCAGACTTTAACCAGCTGGCACAAAATGACTTCAAATGTCGACTTCTGCAGTGCCTGCCAGCTGGATATCGATTCTGTCCTTAAGGCTTCAGAAAGGGGTTCAGGAGAGACCCTAGAGCCACTCACAGCTGCCACATCACAAAGCATGGGGACTAAGGAGAGAGATGGAAGACAAGTGTGAGCAGCCTCCATCCTTTGCCATGTGTGGAAGTGCTCGGCAGAGTGCAGGTCATAGGTCTGCAAAGAGGGGAGGCCAGAATTGGGATCTGCACTGCATTCCACCTGGGTCTGTATTCTCCTGCTTACTAACAGTGGGACCAACTTGATTCCATTTTCTGTGAGCATAAGAATGATTTTAAAGGGTAATTTTGGGGGCTGGGATTGTGGCTCAGTGGCAGAGAGCTTGCCTTGCACACGTGAGGTGCTGGTTTCAATTCTCAGCACCACATAAAAATAAATAAACAAAATAAAGATACAGTGTCCACCTGTAACCAAAAAAAAAAAAAAATTTAAAAAAAAGGTTATTTTGAGAATGATAAGATCATGAATGTGCGCTGCCTTGCCTGGCACATGGAAGGTTCTCTAAAAACATCATTTTCTACAGCCTTCCTTTCTTTCCCTCTCTCGATTGTGTACTTAATAGTTCAGAGCAAAGGATTGAATGCAGGTTTTCTGAAAGCCAGTTCTGAGATGGAGAAATGACGTTGAGCATTTCAGCTTGGCAGAGGGATGGTCACCAGGAGAGGCAGCAGGCACTGGATGAGACCCCCAGGTCTCCCATCCCTCTGCCCTGCAACCGAGCAGGGCAAACAGGTGTTCGTTTCTGCCAAGACAAACAGCTCACACCACCTGGTCTCCGTCACCGAGGGCAACCATACAGAGGCATGGAGCAGGCCCCTGAGGACTCTGAACAGCAGGTGGTAGCAGGCAGATCTGGGGAGGAAGTGAGAATTTGAAGTACCAATGAATCAGCCGTAATTCCCCCATTTTAAAAGAGCACCGTGTCTCCCAGCTGTATTCAAGGACAGCCTGAATCTGGCACCACGCCCTGGTGGGAACTGAAAGGTAGGGAAGTCTTCTGGGTGTGGGGGTTTGTTTTTTCCATCTTCTCCCGTCCATTCCCAGGCAATCAACCCAGCAGCATTGGCAGGAGCGCCTGCAGTCATCGTGCAGGTACCTGAAACTGCAAGGGCAGGGAGCCCTTCTCTCAGTTCAGGTAATTTTGGCTCCAAGACGGGGAGAGATGCCTGTTGCTGTTTTTCTCTCTCTAACCTCTCACCACCTGATCCCAGAAGCAGGTGTGGTTTTTAGAAAGACTTGGGAGGTAACCAAGTTAAAATGGAATCATTAGGGTGGGCCCCAATACAGTTAGCTGGTGTCCTCATAATGGAAAAATCCGGACAGAGAAACACATATGAAGGGCAGATGATGTGAAGAAACAGGGAGAAGCTGTCTAAAAGGAGATGCGGGAAGCAGGTCTTTCTCTCACAGCTAGCACCATTT